ATTAAACCTTATAATCTATATAAGTAGAAAAGTTCTAAATATATTATCTATTTCTTATAGATATTAATATATATATTATATATATTTAAAGTAAAGTTTAATTAACTTAGGTAGATAGATATAAGGTACTATATAGATACTATTCTTTTTATAGTAAGGTTAGTAGATAAGTTTATATAATACAGACTATAAGTTTTTCTAACTTTACTACACCCCCCTAGCTACTTTTTAGACCTCCTGCCCTGCATAAAACCCTAAAATGCCCGCTTGTCCCCTGCTATTTTTCCAGAAATCCTGCCCATGACCCTTTTTTTCCACATGCACCGGATCCACTCTTCGTCCTGGTCTTTCCGATTCCCGACTGCTGTCTCCTATTCCTGTTCCCGCAGCCTGCAACGTCGTCGTCGGCTCATGGAAGGCCCCGGACAATTTGCATCGTCGCCTCGCTAGTTCTTCGCCCGACGAATCATCGCGACCGGAACAGAATTGAAGGCTCCAGCCCGTCTGCCACCGAATTCCTGCATCGAACATCGAACATTCGATACCCACGGTTACTGCGTCGACACGACCTGCTTGTTCCCGGTCACCGACAGCGACACTGCACAGTACTGCATAGTATCCGTACACCGACAATAACGCCCACCTTTTGAGCCCTGACCGTGACAGTGAGACAGGCGACAGCGACTCACCTTGCTTCAGAGTCGGTGGCTGCATGCACCGCGACCCGACGGTGGAATTAAGGAATTCGCACCCCCGTCATGGTGATGCCACATGTCGCTACGGATCCATGTCTTTTCTCCCTCCCATCGCTTGAACCAGTCCCCCGACGCGCTGATCTGAGCTGAGACCAGCCCAGTCGCGACCGTACCGTACGACGTATTTGGCACTCTGACAATTGCTACGCTACTGGACCGCCATCTGCAACTGCTGCACACATACCCAACGCTACCCTGCTTGCCTGCTGCAAACCAACCACAAACACCACACCACCAACGACCGACGCAACAACGCCTCCCAGACCGACAGACACTGCGATTATTCCTGCACATTCACCTTGCAATAAGGCTTCATTGGTATTCGACCTTGACCCGTCCGCGACCGCCCTCACCGACTCTTGTTTTTTCCGGTTCTTCGTTCTCCCGATCGTACCCGAAGCCCCAGATCTCGCCTCTCAATAACCCGCCTTCAATCTTCAACTCCCCGATAGGAGACAAACTTACCACAAAGCTCATTCGAAAGCGCCCGCTGCACGACGACAGTCATATCTGCCGTCGACGTTCCGAGCCGACCTTTCAAACCCGCCGCCGAAACGGCCAGCCTTCGTCACTTTCTTGCCCGACTGTCGCTCCAGCATGCTGCCATGGACCCTCCCGACCCCCTGCCGCTCCGTATAACGAGGAGCGCCTCCTCGTCCTCTTCTCTTCATTTCAAGCCACGCGACCGTAAACTTCACCTTTTGGTCGCCGCCACCGGCCCCCGCGACATATCATGGGCTCAAGCCCTCGTCGTGCGGCTCTCCAAGAGCTCGGCCATCGAGATGCGCGCCATCGTCGACGATACCGTCCCCCGATTGAGCCAGACCGTCATTACCATGCAGAACCGATCCATGTGTCCTCCTCTGCCTCCAGTGCGCGCCGCCGACACCGACGCCGACGATATAGAGTTTTACCGCCAGCAAGCCTTCGAACTGGTCGAGTGGGCCGACCTCATGGTTTTGGCCCCGATCGACGCGGATAACATTTCAAAGATGATGGCGGGCATTGCCGATACGTTCCTTCTCGAGGTACTGAGGGGATGGGATACTGCCAAGAAGATCCTCCTGGTGCCCGGCATGAGCACACATATGTGGGAGAACCCGGTCACAAAACGGCAGCTCAACAAGATCAACAGTAAGTGGACGTGGATACGCGCCATGACCCCGATTTTGTGGCACTACGACGGATCACCGAAGAACCCGAAGCGGATTGTCAACTGGAATGGATTCAACGATGTGTTGGGCATCATCAAGAACCAGGCCGACCTCCTCGGCCTCGGCCGGGACGTCGACGTTGTCACTCACCTTGGGTACCTGGCGACTGGGGATCCGCGGGTCTACTCTAACTTGCCTCCCGAAATTTGGACCATCATTCTGGATTATGCTGGCGATTGGGAACTCGCGCAGGCTCTTGGCATCTTTACTAACCTACCGATGCCGCATCCCTGGACATTGCAGCCGAAAGATTCGCGAGATCCGATCAAGGTCTACGAGCACGAGCTAGAATGGCTTGTCCTCACCTGTGACACGACCGCCATCTGCAAGAAGCTCCTCCAATCGCCCCCTACACTGCACGACTTGCCCGCCCTTGTGGTAGGGCTTCTTATCAAGTTTTCACTCATCGACGTGCTCAAATGGATGGAGGCGAATCGCCCCGACCTCTTCAAGCACGCTTTCGATGGCAAAGTTCTCCCCACCAAGGCGTCGGCGTATTTTGGGCGCCCCGATGTCTTGGATTACTGGAAGGAGAGCAAATATTTTAGAGGCAAGCACCAACAGTCGTACGACGCCGAGGCTGTCGACGGTGCTTCCAAGATGGGTTTTATCCAAGTACTCGACTGGTGGTGGCGGCACTCCGGTTTGCCTCTGCGTTTCACCGAGGCTGCCTTGGAGCAAGCCAGCGGAAAGGGACATCTGCTGGTCCTTGAATGGTGGAGGGATGCTGCGGCGCAGGATGAAAGAATCGTCCTGCGTCCCGGCAAAGCTCTACTGTGGGCTGCCCAGCATGGCCAGGTTGATGTTATCAAATGGTGGATGGCTTCTGGCATACCCATCGCCCACGGCGACGGTGTAGCAAAGATTGCCTCACGCTGGGGCCAGGTTGGCGTCCTCGAGCTTTGGCGCAAGCTCAAGGGTGACGACAAACTTACATTTGACGGCGAGGTGCTCGTCCAACCCACGATCCATCAGCACATCGGCGTGCTGGAGTGGTGGCGCAAGTTTGCATACGGTGAACTGGACGGCATGGAAGGACGGAAACAGCGTGTCGAATACAGAACGTGCGATATCGAGGAAGCTTTGGAGGACAGCATCGGCGACCAGGAGCCGGTGCGCAAGTGGTGGGCCAGCAACGGGCTCAACCTCGGACTCCGCAATGTCGAATGGATGCGGGCTAGGTGTTTGTAGGACTATTCTCTGTTTTCGGGACACATTCACAGGCGCAGGCGGCATTGCTTTTGGTAGCACTGACACGGCGCCCTTGCATTGAAACCGGCACACAAAAAAGTTTGGCGTTCCGGATCAAAGGCTGGATATCTGGCGTTGGCAGCATGCGTGATGAACGTGAGGGTATTACATTCTTATTAGATTGGTTGGTCTTTTGTCGAATCATGACATCTCGTTACACATGTCTCCAGAAGTGAAGTCCTTTCCTATCATTCTCAGATGACCAATGGCACAGCAACCAATAGTCCAGCAACCAAGATCGCACCATCGACACCCATTGCACCCGCACCGGCTGTACTGCCACCCCCAGTCGTCGCTGCCGTCGGCACAGCATTCGTAAGTGTCGCCCTGGTGCTGGTGCTGGTGCCGCTGGCAATAGCTCGCGTAGACGTGGTGCTCGTATCATCGTCGCCACCGCCCAACACTGTGGTGCTCGGGGAATCGTCAAATGTAGTCGTAGCAGAGCGAAGCCGTGTCGTCGCAATCAACCTCGTCGAAGTAGTACTATCATCCCCTCCACCGCCGCCGCCGCCTCCACCTCCACCCGGACCGTTGCACTTCTTGTTACCCGCGCAAGTCTGGCCCGAGAAGCAGTAGTACGTATTGCAGCAAGTCTGGCCGGAGGGCATACATCCCGTCCCGCACGCCGTCTGTCCCGCCGCACACTGGCTCCCACCTCCTCCACCACCTCCCCCACCGCCAGATCCTTTGTTGCACTTCTTATCACCCGCGCAAGTCTCCCCGGCATCGCAGAAGTAGGTGCTGCAACACACCTGTCCCGTCGGCATGCACCCGCTCCCGCACGCCGTCTGCCCGCTTGCACACTGCCCCCCGCCCCCACCGCCACCGCCGCCGCTACCTTTCGAGCAGAACCCGTCAGCGGTACACGTCTCCCCGGCGTCGCAGTACCCGCCATCAGAGCAACACACCGTGCCCGAAGGGATACAAAAGCCGTTGCAGAGGACCTTGCCGGAGGAACACCCGGACGGGGCGCCGGAGCAGGTCTTGCCGATGGGGCAGCAGCCGCCGGAGACGCAGACCTTGGTGGCCTCGCAGTAGCCGCCGCTGCCGGTGTTGCAGCAGGTGCCGAGGGTGGGGATGCATTTGCCGTCGCAGGGTTTGTAGCCGATGTCGCAGGTGGAGGAGACGGCGCCGAGGGAGATGGCGGAGGAGCCGAGGCCGCCGGGGAGGAGAAAGGGGTTGGACGCGGAGGAGGAGGAGGATTGGGAGCCGAGGTAGGGGGAGGAGGAGTCGGCGAGGGCGAGGGCGAGGCCCGTTGATAGGAGGAGGGGTTTGAAGAGCATGATGGGCGGTGTTGCTGTTGGTGTGGGTGGTGACCAGGCCTTGGGGGGGATCACGATGGGAAGGGAGGGAGGTATATATATTCTGATGGTGAAAGAGATCTAACTATCGTACTTACAACGATGTCAAGCCGGAGGCTTTGAATGGGAAAATACCCCTGGGACCCCTTGCGTTGAAAATCAGCCTACATGGGCCGGGGGAGGTTGTCGGGAGATTTCTGTGTGACCCCGGACGACGCTAGGAAACGCCATGAGGCGCGTTGATAGACGAGCTGGCTTCCTTTCACGTCCGCGGGTGCGGTGATAGGCGAGCAATCAGGCTGCCGGGGGTGACGGGTGGGCTGAGAGCTAAGGGACGCAGGGTTGTTTGCCACATTGTAGCTGTTTTCACAAGGCTTGTTTGACATGATGTGGTGTTGCCTTCTTTTCTGAGGCATTATACTAGGGTGTAGTATCCGTATGCGAGGAAAAGGCGTTTGACGGGATGCTGAATTGATGTCCACTGTGAACGTAAGCACCGCATATCTTGATATTTCTTCCCTATCCTCGCCAGACATCACGGCAGTTATTCGAGGCAGAAACATCCACAGCTGAAGCCTAGAAAGCCCCGCCAAGAAACGACAAGCAGTCCACCCTAGCAACGACTTCAGCTCAATCAACCCGTTACAAGCAGGCTGTTCCTCTCCCAGCCAAGCCGGGCGTTTTAAGCGACGGACAGCCTTCATTTCGTTATGCTTATCCTGGCCCGGACGAACATTAGCCCCGAATGCTTCTTCTACCCTTTAAGCCCAGCCACATCCAATTTATAGAGCTTTACGCTATATTATAAAAATTCTATTTATACTTTAATAGATACCTACTAAGTATTATAATACTATTTATAATAACTAGGAAAGCTTTAATCTAAGTTTATAAGAATATTATTAATAACCTTAATAGTTTATAGATAACTTATTATATAAAATTATATAGGAGGAAGAATATAGGTTTATTTTTCCTCTATTTATTAACTATCCCTAATAAAATTAATTTATTATAATTAAACTAATTAAGATATTTATTATTAAATTAATAAATTAGAAAATAAAAGAGAAGGTTAATTTTATTACTTTTATAAAAAAATATAAATAATATATTTAAGTTACTATTAATAATATAAGTCTTAATATTAAATCCTTAAATAAGTCTAAGGATAAGTATTACTACTAAATATTTATCTATTAAATTATAGTATACCTCTTCTCTTAATTTAGTAAAGTTTAAGGTATTAAGGAGTACTAAAAGGATTAATAAAAACTTTATAAGAAACTTAAATATAATAAATAAATAAGAGAGGTTTAGGAGGAACTTAATAAACTAAATAAATATAAAGAATATAAGAATAAGGTAATTATAGTAATTACTATAATCCTCCCTAACTATTAAAACTAAGAGAAGTAAAGGGAGAAGGGAAAAAGGGGGGGGGGATTATAAAGGTAGCCTATATACTAGTAGAGTTTCTAAAAAGTATACTTCAATACATTATATCACTTCACAGTGAAAGCCCCGAATGCTTATTTTGCATTCGTGCAGTGAAGAGAAGCATGGTTTTGGGGAGGGGAAGTGATGGACGCCCCTAACGGCGACGGCGCTGTGCGGCTGAGGGTCGCGGACGAATTGGACGGCGGCACGGAGATGAGAGGCGCTCGCTAGCGTTGTTTGATGGGCGATTGGACCCTTGTCAACATCGCGGGGTGAGCAGCGTTGCGGCTGAGCTGGTGTTTATTCGGTGATTAGATGAGGTTAGCTGAGGACAAGAGTTAAGCTTGATTTGACGGGGAAGATGATCGACGGGATGGGGTTCGTGTTGATCGAGACGGGGGGAGGGTATGTGTTGGCACGACTGGAAGTTGGGATTTGGTAAGGCGGGATTGAGTCATGCTGTCCAGATTAAATTTTGATAGACGGTGACGGGGGCTTGGGCGTTTTCGTGGTGGTGTAAGGCTGATTTTGTGTTGTGGGATAGGGCGTGGTGTCTGAGATCCTGGGGTTGAGGTGGGAGACACGATGTTTGCTTGCGCAGCGGTTGAGATGGGCGTGATGCCTTACACAGTGGCGTCCTTGAGTCCAGTCGCTCGAATTCGAGGCAGACGGCAAGAATCGCGTCTTTGCAGTCTGTGATGAGAGGAATTCCGGGGATGCACAAGGCAGGGGCCGGTGGAAGACGGCGTCCCACTTTTCACTCCGGCCGGCCCCCCAATTGCGAGCCCTCTGAGTCTCCCGCCGTTGCGGTGCCTCAACCCGGCCCCACAACACAAGTGAAAATTTCCAGAAGCGGGATTTGGCATGCCCTTTCAGAGAAGGAAGATCACGCTCCCAACAAAAATAAACACAGCACCTCGAGACCGAAAGCGCAAAAAGTAACTCGACGTTGGCCTGATTCGAACAGACGCTCCCGAAGGAACAAGATTTCTAGTCTTGCGCATTAGACCACTCTGCCACAACGCCTTAATCTAATGAGCCCGCCTATGAGGCGGGGATGCTGAGGATGGCGGTGTGCTAGCTCATGTGCTGTTAGTCTGGACCCTCCACGATGCGGATCCCGCTAAGGATTTGGACAATGGCAGAAGACTTCAGCTATTGATTATGGTTGATACATTCTCAAATGCTGCTTTTCGCCAAGGTCCCAGAAACCACAATTCACCACCTCAGAGTTTTCTATTTTGGTCGATAGTGATGATAGGATATCAACAATAACAATTACTATCTCATGGGTAGTACTCTGCCCGGATAGCACGACTCATTCAATTAATACTGCGGAATCGAAGCGATGAGTAGCATTGATTCATTCAGAGATTAGCTAAGGACCAGACTGAAAATTTGTTTTACTGAAGAATGAAGTTAATACTTTTCCTCTAACGGTGTCAAAAGCTCATTCCAAGGGAAACTTGAGCGATTCTCTAGTGGAAGTTAGGAGGGTGATGTATGGTTGGAAAGAGGGCACTGCGCCTTCCTCGTCATCACTCTAGCTAAGACTGGCAAGTTTTGGGATGTTATGGTTGTCTCATCAGACGGAAAGCTCTAATCCGTTCAGCGTATAGTCATCCCCATAGAAAGCCATATCAGCCCAATATAGTCTTTAACCATGCCTCAGTGTAATGTCTCATGAAAATGTTCCATGGAATCAACCTGACCATACCGATTGTCTAACACATGCGAATGCAAGCTTCCATTCACACATGAAAACAAACCGCTGACCTATATACGATCACAAAGTTTTACTTATTCTGTCCGGGTGTCGGTCGCTGTATTCTAATTTGTGTTCAGGCGCGGGCAGCGATACCTAAAGTAATCTCAACCTGGTCGAGGCCGCATACAATGTGTGAGAACTTGTAGCAGATGGCACACCATCGCTCTAACCTTTGATGAAACCATCTCACATGACCGGACTGATCACTAATTTCTCCAGACCCAGCTCCATCAACCTACCGGAGTCGTTTCCCCTGGGTCTTGCGTCAGGTTGTCTTTGAACATGCCTCCTGCGCCTTGCAAAGAGGCCTCACCGTGTTATTCCCACGCGTAGGCCACGCTCCACAAACATCGCTACCAGCGTACCTCATCCGAATACAACCCCCAAATTGCTTGGCCAGGCCAAATACACCCAGGAACAAATCCGAAATACCCGAGTCGCCCGCGCCAAGATCGACAGAACGTCCAAATCCCAGAGACGACGGGCAAGAACAGTCGATTGGTGGTCCTCCTACCCCTGGGCCGATCAGACGAACGGGGCAACCCCAGCCTGCGCGAGGGGAACTCCAGCCGACAGGGCACCTAACCACGAATCCCCTGTTCCTCCCAACAGCACTGGCAGCACCCAACGACAGCAGTCGAGATGACATGAGACCCGACCCCATTGGACAGCCCTAAACGTCGCGACCCTCATTTCAAACGCGGCTGCTTTATTTTTGTCTTTATTCTTATTCCTGTCGGGCGCCCTTTTCAATCCCGTTCCATCCCCGAAGGTGTCCGGACGGTCTCTGGCGGAACACTATTCTTAGGCCCGGAGATCTTTGAATAGTTTATTCCCCCGCTGGCGGGGGTGTTGGTGGAACTTTACCGAGTTTCTGCGACCTGAAGGGGTATTAGGGCACGCGAGCACTTTGCCGCTCATTGATCGCAGGGCTGCCGCCGTAATGCATTGTCGATGGATGAAAGTGGAAGACATGCGCCATGACGGCCGGTTGATGTTCTCAAGTTGACGTTCCGTTGCCAAGACTTAATGTCAAAAACTCACAAGTCGACGCGATCCCGAAAGCTTGGCGCAAACATTAGACTCCAGCCTCCAAGCCTGGGCAGTTCCAGTCGACGTCTTTGACGATCTTGGCGGGGCTTCACGTGGAAATATCGAAATGGGGGCCATAACTCATTGAACTATGATGCAACTCAAGCCAACCTTACTTATCACAAGTTCTGATGCGGGTGGAAGTTTTCATGAAACCTCACCCAGTGTCAACTACCCGCGGAGTCTCACAACCCAACTTCGGAACCAGGCTCTGAAGAGGATCACAGCGAATAGCCTGTATTAGCATTTCCAACAGATAATCTGATCCATCACCTCCGCCTCGTATTGAAGCTATTCGCGATTTTTCACGTCATGAAACAGCAAGGGGTTCAGGGTCGACCCCGCCCAATTGGCTACGCACCGCCGTTGATGCGCGACCAGCCCCCATCCCAGGCAATTCGAAACGACTCAGCTGTCAGACACCTTGACATGAAGTGTGTCGCCAAAACCTGCCGCACCACCTTCTCTCTTTGGTCCTGTTTATTAATAGCAGCCGAGAAAATCCCCCGGATTTCCTCGCCAAAGCTAGCCAACTTCCCACTGAGCGGGGGCCGGTTGCAGTTTTCATTATCTGATGGCTGTTTGGGTAGATGCTAATCTAAGCCCAAACATGGCCTCACCAAGCCGGTCGTTGGGCGGGAATGAGACGAAGCTGTCACATCGCGATGGCTTCTTGGCGAAAATTGAGATGAGGGGTAGATGGACCTCATAGACTTCGACTTGATAAATAATGGAAACCTCGCTATCTTTCGTTTCGTGTAGAGTCTTCAGCCCTCCAGCGCCTTCGTTCTCGCATCGTTAGATTCGTTTCGTTCCAGCGCGGGCCGCCGAGTTTTCAATTGTAATCACTCAATTCTAGACAGAGGCTCTATCACATACCCCCACCCTCAACCCGACATGGCATCCCAAGCGCTCCCTCTCCGATCCCGACTACTCTCTTCAAAACTCTTCATCTTCGCCCTCTTCTTCTTCTCCATCATCACAATCACCTTGGCAGGCGACGATGCCACTTCAACCCCCGCTCAACAGAGCGCTCCGTTCGTGGACCAGGCAACTGGCCTGAACATGGAGCGCTTCTTCGGCGCCCGAACCTCATTCGCCTTCGCCATGGCCCTTCCCGAGCAGAACGGGACCGCCGGAGCCGGGTCCTTCATAGGGCAACTCTCCTTTCCTCTCGTCAACGGTGCCGGATGGGGCGCCATGGGCTTGACCGGCGAGATGGAGGGCAACTTCATTCTGGCCGCGTGGCCGGATGGCGCTGGCGGTGTGATGGCCTCTTTCCGACAGGCAACCGACGAAGACAACCCACCCGAAGTCAAGGGCAACTTTGCCGTTCGACCCATCGCCGAAGGCGTTTCCGTCAACGCCACCTCTCTCACCTACACCTTCCTCTGCGAAAACTGCCTCGATACAACATTGGGACTGGGGCCGGATGCTACGAATGCGAACGCGGTCATGGGATGGGCGCTGTCTGAAAAGGCAGTCAGGAACCCGACCGATCCTGGGGCGAATCTTGGATTTCACGAGCGTGGGTTTGGACCGTTTACTGCGAGGTTGGGGAATGCGAGGACGGCGCAGTTTGCGGCGGTGGCTGCGACTGCTGGACAACCGGTAGCAGGTTCGGCCAAGGCCGTCGCTGCAACGCCGAATGCTTTTAAAGATGGCGGCGATGACGACGATGATGATAAGAAGAAGGGTGGTAGTGGTGGTGGTGGAAAGAAGGATGATGACGATGATGATGACTGAAAGTCTAGAATGTGTAGATTCAACAGACAAGCCAACATCATGATACACCTCCATGGCTACAAGCCAGACTAGCGTGAACACGGGAATAAGCGACATAGCTGATGGACTTGAGATAAACGACGTGAACATGGGTAGCGATACCTTGTCGCAAGTAACACCAGAGTAAATCAATCCTAGCCCTGAACTACGGAAATACCTATCGCCTACTTCATGTTTCTTCGCACATACACTGCTACCAGCGATTTTGAAATATTTGATTCCAAGTAAATATAAATGCTCAAGATAGTCAGCAAATGCACGGCCTCGGAGAAACTTAGGTAGAAGTTCGGGGGATGTAGCAGGCATCATGCTGTCATGGACCAACCGAGAATTCGTCTCGGGTAACATACAGGATTCGGACAGAAGAGAGCAGCTTTCGTAAGATATAGTGACGCTAGTGATCAAATTTTAAACTGAAAAGGGCAGGCAGACGTCAGACCACATCTTTCTCGCATTTAGACCACGAATTGACAGAAGGCTGACCAATGAGTGGCCCAAGAGTTTCGAGATGTGACTTATCAGTCACTCAGACCCGGAGCCTACTGCAATATGCTCCTCTTGGCGTTTCTGGGCGCATTATTCGTCATGTCACTTCCAAAATGGCTGCGTGGGTTGGCAGTGATCGACAGGATCCGCGTTCGTTTCTTGCCCGTCCGTAGCCTGATGGGCTTTATCTAAGAGACTGCCGCAACCCAGCTGATTGACATTAAATCATTTCATCGCCTGTCACCTTTTTCGTGTGAAGCCATGTCAATTCATGGTTCTTCAAATTCTGGAGGACAATCTGAGAGAAACAGCCCTCCTAGAATTGAGCCATCGGGGCTGCTACAGGTTCAGACTGTCTACGATGATGTCGGAAGAGACGATGGCAACATAGCATCTCCTATTTTTGAAGATATAAATAAATTGGAGGGTTGGTAAATCAGTCCCTGGTCAAGAAACGTTTAGTGATCGAGCTACAGAAAGGGAATGTCCCGGACGAAGCGCAGCACGAATATGAGGAGACGCCCTTGCACAAACTGATCAACACGGCAGCTGATGATGTGTCCGCCTTGAGGGATCTAGAAGAAAACTTGGAAGAATGGAAGCCCTTGATCAACATTCGCTGCTCGGATACCAAGGAAACGGCTCTTCTACTCGCCACTTGGAAGGAGTTTGAAGGCGTTACTGCCAAGCTTCTCCGAGAAGGAGCCGACCCTGAGCTCGAGGATGACTCCGGGTGGTTGCCTTTGCAAGTAGCCTGTGATGTTGGCAACGAGACGATTATTGAAGCATTGTTGAGCGTCGGAGCTGATGCTGCCAAGAGAGGTCACGATGGACAATATCCCCTCGATGGAGCTGTCAGATGGCCCCTGAAGTCCCAGTTGATGAGACAGCTCGTCAAGCCGCATGAAAAGTCCATCAATGAGGTCTACAAGGAGTCTGAATGTATCATGGCACTGAAAGCGCTGTTGACCTCCTGCTAGAAGTCGGTGCGAGCCTCAGCATGGTGGACTTTGAGAAATGGACACCTTTGATGACAGCAATTCGACGGAACTACCCCAAAATCGTGGCAAAGCTGCTCCGAGACTTGGTAGGGCAAGCTCCAAAGGATGTTCAATCAGCTATCGATACGCCAGGTTTGGATGGAATTACGCCCATCATGCTCATTTGTGGTGGAACTCTGCTCGATGACGGCGCCGGCAACTCGTTAACGGCTTCGGATATCATTACAGAGCTGTTGAAGCTTGGCCCGGATATCAATGGGATCGACTTGGAAGAGAACACGGTACTGCATCACGCGATGAATGCTGCAGTACCACGGGACGAGAACCTCATCAAAGGCCTGATTCAATTGATGAGACCGAAAAGAATCCTACAATCCAACATTCGTGGCGAGACAGCGTTCGACTCTTGCTTCGACAAGGACAAAGACTGTCCATTTTCTGAGAGCAAGGGTTTAGTACAATTCCTCATTGAACTTTTTGCTCGAGACCAAACACTTCAGCAGGCTGAGGAGCCACTGTGTTGGACTGTGTACCGCCTGGAGAGACACACCACTGCTTTGGCGCTTTTCAGCAAGTTGAAACAGGCCGGGAAGATACAAGGAAACTTTGATCCCCACGGATGCTCATTGGTTGAATGGGCGATTCACGCTCGTCTCCCCCGAGTGTTACTGACTTATCTTAGAGCAGTAGGGTTGAACAAAAAGGGCGATAAGGACAGCCAAGTCGGCGAGGACAGAGAACGGGGTTTGAATTTGGTTCGCAGCAGAGACTCAAGCTTCACTGCCACGGCCGAGTGAGCCCGACCGTCAAAGATGGCAGGCGGAACAGAAATCATCTGACCAAAGCAGAGATGGAGATCCAGACCTGAAAGATCTGAAAGACTTGGAGGATATCTTGGACTATCTTTATCCGGAAAAGACCGAGAGAAGAGCAAGCCCATGGGCCCTGTCGGAGCAGACTGGGCCCATGCAGGCAACCTCCCAGCGCTTCCGCGCCGCTATCATTCAAAATAACTTTTTCAAGTTCCGAAATGTGTACGAGATCTTGTACGACTCAGATCAGATGGAGAATGTGCGACAGACCGTTGAGAGACTCCAAAAGTTCGAGTACAACCCCAATCCGCACAAGCAAGCATCACCTCACGTCTTTGGTGCCAATTTCAGAGTTGGTCCGGATTTTACGTGGATACATCTACCGGCAAGCAACGTGAGTTACTCTTCGGGAGCATAAGCTGTCAGACGAAATATCAATATTAGCCAGATTACATGGATGGAGGTGAGAGCTTCTGACCCAGCCCGCAGTTGGCACTCCACATCTCCACAATGTTGCCAGGCTGCTAAAATTTTGGATACAGGATGCCGCGAAGAAGATACTTAAGCAAAAGGTTTGCAAAGACGAAGCCTAGAAGGTTGCATCGTTTTTGCGTAGCAGCTGGATCGAGATTCCAGACAGGACGTCAATGTCACGCTTCATGAGGCCCCGCTATGTCGTCAAAGACAAAGGTTTTCCTACCAATTTGGAGGTTCGCCATATTGCAAGAGACATTGGAGATCAAGACATAGGCCGGGCTTGGTCCCAAGCGAACGAAGAGCACCAACATGGCACTGGATTGTTCTCGCCAGTGGATGACAGAAACATGGCGAGCTTAGACAGAGGCTCGGTTGGTGAGGCGTCAAAAGGAGAAGGGAAAGTCCCTAGAGTATCGTTCATCGCCCCTCCATCCGAGAGTATGATGATAGACCAACAAAGCGACGGGCAGAAAGAAGAAACCATCGGTGCCTCGGCCATCTACGTAAGTACGCATTCAATGCGGAAGGAGATTGTTAGTTCTCATGTGTTCCTAGATGCCCTATCTGTACTTTTCAACATATCACGAAAGTGAAGGTGATCGAAGCTCCCGACCGAAGACTGATACGACGTCCCCAGACAAAAGGTTGGTTCTTGAGCAGATCGACCTACGGCAGAGCCTATTCGCGGCGTACAAGGATTCAGTCATCCACCAACCAGCAACTCTAGATGAATTTTATTACCACTTTGCGTCGGATAATGACTCCCGCGAAGATAGAGATTTGCGGAATAAGGATCAGGTCATAACGAAATACTTGAAAGCAGGAGACAAACGAAAGCTCAAGTACTGGCCCGTCCTGCGTGTAAGTCAAGTGTGGATATGGATCATCGACGAGAGTATGTACCGTACGACTCATAAATGAGTCTCGAGCAGCGACTGACGTAAACTTATCTCAGAATGGATCATAACCTCCACATCCTCCGCCAGGAATGATGTCCAAGATAATCTTTTCACTAATATTCTCGAGCATCTTCAAAAACAAGTTAGGAACGGAAGCCGAAGAATCGGACCTTCATCGGCTACCGAAATGAGCAAAGTTATTGTGAATTATTGTGTCGGAGCATACGAAAGGAAGAGAAAGCGTAAGGTAACGACCAATGGTTCTGTCAGTATCCAAGCAAATTCCCAGCAAAACGGGTTGCCCAAGGAAGAGCGATCTATCCGGCAGATATTCTCCGATTCTATCAACGAGATTGTGGGTGAAAGTAGACCCGTATCTACAAGCAGTATGGAAGTTCTGACGACATATGCAGCGAAGAAAAGAGTCAACCCTTTTCAATCAGGCCTATGGTCACCCTCACTTGTCCAGCAACAGAAAGGATAGCAAGAATAAGGATCAATCCACAGAAAAGACAGCGAGTGATCTGAGCTCTACGCTCGGGAAGGTGACACGTCAGTTATGCGACATTAAGGACATCAGGGATGAGCTTAACATCCTGAAAACAAACCGTTGCTACCTTTCAACGTAAAGTTCAATATCAAATGGCAGGGCCCTCTGCGAACGGGGATCTTGAGACAGATTACATCCTCGGTGACATCAAGGAGATGGACAGATTCGCGGAGCAGACCCAAGAGGCGCTGAGTAATTTTCAACAACTCTCAAGAGTCAAAATTGACGAATGACACGTAGGTAAAGACCACTCTGACGCCTGTGAAGAGTGATATAGCCAACCTACAAGGAATGGAAGCTGTGAAACAGGGCAAGATTGTCTTAATATTTACTCTTATCACAGTGTGGTTTGTGAGTCGCTCTAATACGCAGAACATAGACGAGAAAGTCTTTCACTAACATGTTCGTCTCCCAGCTCCCTCTCTCCTTTCTAACGTCACTCTTCGCGCTTGATGTAGCATCTTTCCTCACGGCTCCTGCTTGGTCGCTGTACGTCATCTGTAAGTGATCTCTTATCGCTCAATTCTGGTACCCAAGCCAGGTTGCTGACAGAAGTGATAGTCGTTGTGCCACTGATATTTCTATTGGTAGCCATAGCCTATGTTTGGAAGCTGGAGATTGTCCAATACTACTCAAAGATGCAGCGCAACGCCACTAAAGAGTCGCGGCCAATAAAAGCAGCAAGGGCTAAGTCAAGTGCGCTGTTCTGTCCGCCATTGCGGGGTCTGAGAAGTCGGGGGAGAGCCGATGAGGAACACGGAGTTAGCTCGAACAGTGATTTGGGAAAGTGAGAGCGGGGCAAGTTTGATGAGCTGGGCTTTTACTTTCACCTCCTGCCATGGGCGCGCGCTGGTGCGAACGTATGCAGCATGGAAAGCGAAACAATATGGCCGGCACCGCGAGTATGTTCCAATACGGTCTACCTAGCCTCTCATTACATGTATACTAAGTTCCCCGGGTAATCTATCGACATTCAATTCTCCAGGACTGTGGATTCGGCCAAAGCCAAGCGGCTGCTTTGAAGCTTTGTATTCCGATAGATACGATCATTGTTCATGACTCACCGCCCTGGGTTGTACTAAGCGAGAATGTATATGAGGTAGTCGGTCTCGAATCCATAGAATTACACGACCCCTTCCTTTATGCTGCAGCCTCCGCAGCGGCTCGACAAGCACATATTTCTCCGCAGAACCTCTCCTCCACATTGATGCTAGGGTGAATCTGAGTGTTTCTCCTGGCAGGATATATCTCAGTCCGAGCCTTTTTCTCAGCCTCCCAATGCTTGTCAAGGTCCTTCTTTAGTAGACGCTTGAAAGCCATAGTGCCCGACTCGCGCTTCGAATGCAGGGGACCGTTGACAAACACGTTGGTAACCAGATTCTTCTGGACGCCATTCATGAGATGGAAATCCTCAATCTCGATACCCTCGAAGAACTCTCCGGCGCGGTCGAAATGCTCTTGCGGCGAATTCTTGTTTCGGTACACCTCGTACTCGGTGGTGACGGTGGTGGGTGTCTTGGGAACAACGCGCATGAGAAACCAATACGGCGTGGACAGGTTCAGAGATGTGTTCGGGTAGTTGAACGTGAAGGCTCCGTTGCCGAAGAACTGAACGTCTTCAGGCTTGATGTCGTCCCTGTTAGGCGGGAAGTGTTCCATTCGCCCCTTGTTGGGGCCCTTCGTCTCAACTGAGTAGCGATCGAGATTGGTGATTTTGGTGATGCCAGGGTGTGATGCTTGACAGTGATAACACTACGCAGATGTATCAGTATGAAAGACTTTTTAGACGTATTGGACCACTCGAGAGCATCCGCAGCTGTGTTCGCTCACCTCGTTGTAGTTCTCGCCAACCAATTTCCAGTTGTAGTCGCCATTGGTGGTCCAAGTGCGCTCGTAAACATAGTCGTCGAGGTTGAAATCTTGGAACCGTTCTTGCTCGTCGGTACCCTCGTTGAGCTCTTTCCATGGGATGGGGTTGTCCGACGCATCAAAGTTGACCCAGATGAGACCGAGCTTGTCGATGTGAGTGTGGATCGAGAAGAGGCTGTAATCTTCCTTGCGGAAGTCAACGACCTCGTCGAACTTAGGCGCCTTTGCAAGCTTGCCAGAGAGACCGTAGGACCAGCCTGCGAAGCCACGGTCAGACGGTGTAGCCGGAAGAAGGAGCCTTGTGGAGAAACTCACCGTGGTAGCCGCAGCTAAGAATGAGCTTTTTGCCCTCGCGGCCATCCTTGTCTACAAGGATTGGGTAGGCACGGTGACGACAGACATTGTGGAATGCATGAATCTCGCCCTGTCTGTCCTTGATGAGGAAGAAGTCGAAGCCAGCCATCTCAAAGCGAAGAAAGCTTCCTGCCTCTGGTAGGCGAGAGCGATGGGTCGTCATCAGCCAGTGCTTGGAGAATACCGCGCGCTTCTCGAAGTCGAAGAAGGCGGGCTCGCGATACCAGGAGGCTGGCATGTTGCCCTCGGGGATCTTGAGAGGTACAGACATTGTGGATAGCGGATGAGATGGAACAAGGTTTACGCAGAAGTGAGGTTGGGATGATTTACAAGTTCAACTGTTTTGTTCTTTTGTCGTTGTGTAAGGAGAGGAACAGAGTTGGTGGGGATGCAAAGCACGGATAGATGGGCCATTTTAATAATCCATGAAGCTTCATTGATCGAATTCATCCGAACGCTGAATCACCGCCCCGAGACACCTTCGATATTCACTACATACGGTAGGAACGCTGACAACCTTCTTTGAATCACGGGGTGAGGGGTGGCGGAAGCTAGGATGAAATTGGGCAATAAAGCTCAACCAAGACAGCTCCCCATGCAAGGTATCTCAGGATACATGATCCAGAACATGAACATATTACCACTAAAGTTGTCGCGTTGTTTCGACTGACGGCGCAACGATGTCGACCATGTTTTCAGCTTCGACCAGACGAGGACCTACGTTGAGGAAGACGTGTGGTAGCGTTACATACCAGCCGCCTTGCTGTAGTAATGGCACGGATGTGAGTGTGCAGCTTCGGTGTTTAGACACACGCCCTCGGTCTCAGGCTTCCTTCCTAATACAGCATCTCGCCTCAGAACCATGGGATTCAGACTTCTTTATCTGTGGATGGTCTTCCCACAGTTTCTCAAAGCGTGCTAGACCGTTGACATGGCTGATAATTGCAACCTGGCCATTGGCTACTGCAGTTTGCCTCAGGCTGACCCCGCATTCAGCGCCACGACCCCTCTGGGATTGCCCTTCTAAGCAGCGAACATAGGTGTGTCTGCTCTGTTACACCAATTGGATCTCTTCGGTCCGTAGTCAATCAACATGAGCTTTCAGACAGAGTGATGGTTATTAAGCAGAGACGATAGAGAAGATATGCTGGAACAAGCTCCTCCCGCGCGATTTGGATAGCTTCGTGACTTAAATCCGTCACAGCTAAGACAGACAGATGCAACTGGTAAACGTGAACCTTTATTACCCATGTCTCTCCATTTGCTGAGGTCACCAGCATGTACTCGAAGACTGGTGGCGTTCACTATCGAACCTTTATGCTTTCATCTTTGTGTTAGAGAAGAACCATAATGGGCTTCAGGACCATAATCGGATACACCAGACTCAGCCCTTTCATGTAACATGAGTCCCAAGGACACCGTAATTACTCAATTATCCAGACTGACAACACCATTCCCTCATTTACCTACTATGTAAGTGGGTAAATGCGATGAAAAGTAGCATTAGCTCTGGTCTGTTCTTTTTCATCTTCACTAATTCCATTTGTCCAAAATGTGGCAGCATGAGTAATGACTCTTATTTCTTGCACCGATCCTGGATGTGTAGGGTACCCGAAGAGTGAGGCAGACCTAACGTGACCTTGGTTATGACCACCAGAGCTGTGAGAAACAAGACCGCAAGCCCACATAACCACACACAAGATTCTCCAAAGCAGTAACTAATAAGCTGACGTCAGTAGCGATGCCGTGACAATAGCTAAGGTGCGGCTCAAGTAAAGTACCTCGTGCAATTTATTGCCCAGTTGTGGAAGATTCACTCGTTGATCACCCCACCCTCCCGGTCGCAACTTAAAGACGAGTGCCGGAGTTTAGGCCGCTAAAAATGGCGAGTCGCTGGCTCGAATACACGTCCAAGAATTACAGTAAGTCCTTTATCGAACGGATTGAGGCTGGGCCGATCTCTAAGGCCCCGGGTATGATAGATGATAGGGCTTCATCCCAGAGATACGCCATTATATCAGTGATAAGAAGACTTGACGCGGGTCTTCGGTGTTTTCTAATGACATGCGCCTGCCCCGCATTCCCATTCGGGTAAGTAAAATGAGACCACAACAGCCCGATAACACTGTGTGACAGCATCTGATTGCACACGCCCCATCCTAGTCTTCCCCGCACCAGTGGGCGGTACTCGTAGTCAACTGGCGCCGGAAAGCGGAGGCTTCCGGTATCTCGATCCAACATCCGATGTACAACTCCAAGGTCTCCTTACAATCGTGGATCTCCTATTTACTTCCCGATTCGATGGTGACAGGCTTTGAGCCGCGGTTATGAGCACAGTGAGCAGCACGCAAAGGCAGAAAGGGACGACACAGGCTAGCTGTGGAGGACATGAGATGGCCCCACGAAAGCGTCCTTACCGCCCGAAAGTCAAAGGTGAGCCAACTTGCTTGCACAATTCAAGCTGCCATTCTACTCTCAAAGGTTCGTAAGGTTATAATAAACTAAGATGAAATAATCCAGGGTGCTATGAATGCTCGAAGCGTCGCGTCTCATGCGACCGAAAGATACCCCGATGTATGAACTGCAGCTCTCGGGGCTTGGACTGCAGCGGCACTGATGCAAATGTGCGAGTACGCTTTGCCGATGGCGTCAACACACGAGGGAAGTGGGCAGGCGAGACTATTGAAAGCCTATGTGAAAAGTATAGGCCCGTTTTTCTCCTGCTTCCCAAACTTTGGCTGTTAATATGTGCTGATTGCTGTGTTTGTCAGGCGACAAGAGTCGAAGAAGACAAAGGCAACCCAGAACTTATCTTCAGACCAATATTCTGGAGAGCCAAACTTTAGAGATTTCCATTTCCAAGCGGGATGTTGGAGTCTGCAACCAACGAGGGGTAACGCATCAACATCTTCGGATACAGGTGACATGGGCGAAGGTGTTGATGCTCCAAATCCAGCAAGAGTTTCAAATTACACCAACATATATGTGGATCCGGTTTTTGATACTGAATCCAGAGGGTTCTATGATCCATACGAGCCGCATGAGAAAGAGATGTCATTGAGTCGCCAGGACCATGCATCACCGCGTAGTTCTCCTTTGACAGGCTTCCTCATTAGCCAAGATGCCCAAGATTTCAGGGGATGCCTCATGGATGACATTCCTTCCTGGAAGAGAGAGCTCCTTATGCACTGTAAGTAATAAGGCCGCCACCGTCGCATGTTCATAGCCTCAATTCTAAAACTGTGCTGATCGCTGCCCTGAAAAGTCTCTGAACATATTGCTGGCGAGATGGTGGCCATCGATGGAAGTCACAATGGCTGGCGATACATCGTTCTTCCAATGGCCCATGCAGATGACCTGGTAATGAACGCAGTGCTCGCCGTATCCGCCTTTCATAGAGATGGTATGAACACAGACGACATTAGGTACCTAGAAACCAACACGAACGGGTTGCGATATCCCGCTCAACAACAGCATTTCGGCCAAGACCCTCCCCATAGTCCACAAGGCCTTTACAACCTAGCCATTGACGGTCTGCGGCAGCGAAGCAACCTCGCGGGTTGCAGTTATGAAGCGAATCAAGCTATCTCGGTTGCGGTACTTGTGCTACTCGTGGCGGCTATGGTGACCGGAAGGGAAGATTATTCAACAATCCTTAGCATGCTGCACTCAGCAACCAACGTTCTTGGCGGCGAGCATCAGCTGGGGTGTACCAAACTCGGAGGTTTCCTAGTTCGCCAGGTGCGGAAGTAAGTTTTGTCGCCAGTCACCTCTATATTTGACTTGAACTTGTATCTTGGCTATCATTGTTTCTTTGATCAAATTGAAAAAAAAAAGGAAAAAAGAAAAAAAGCTTTTAATACTTACACAGATCGATCAAGAGCTGACTATGAGAGCAGGAACAGGGTTTACGCCGCGCCATACATCAGCGAGCTAGCTGGTATTGAAACGCTGGCTTCCGAATCTCAGTGGGATCAGTATTTCGACTGTATTCGATATTGCTCCCAAGGCCAGGCCGGAGACTCGTCTATCGTTGCTACTGTCGCTCGCGTGATGCAACAAGCCCACGATATATACTTGCAAGGGGTAACAGGTAGCGTTTCAGTTGGACCAGATGCAAAAGATAAAATTGAGGCGTTCAAGGAGACTCTGGAGCAAATACCAGAACACGAGCCTGGGACCCACGTCCTAGTCTGGGCAACCTTCTTGGTTGCGGCTGCCAGCTCATTAGAGAGTCATCGGGCCTTCTTTCGAAGATCTTTGCTGAGGCATCATAGTCGCAGCCGATTTGCCAACTTACTGAGAGGCATAAACCATCTGCCCCTTATGTGGGCAAAGGTAGACCGAGGAGCGAGGTGGACGGAGTTGCTATCTGAAGCGGGGCTGTTTCTCATGTGAAAAGGCCGTTAGTGCAAGTGGTTGACATGGAAGATCATTGCCTGGTAATTTTCTAACGTATCGCTGGCGCATGCACGCTAAGACCGTGTGACTTTCTGTTTACGAGGCTTTACAATTCATGAAGTCTCAGGATTGTACCAAACTTGTAGATTCGTAGACTATTGGGGAACTCTGTGTAGTCTACTTCTACAAATGAGATATGGTGATGGTTTTCGTAACCAAATACTCATCGATGCCATATTTGGAACCTTCCTTTCCGAAGCCTGACTCTTTCACACCGCCAAACGGTGTAGCAGGGTCACTAATGAGGCCGGTGTTGATTCCCACCATTCCAACTTCCAGCTGCTCTGCCACGCGATACACCCTATCGAGATCGCCACTGTAGACATACCCGGCTAACCCTACACGACAAGAGTTGGACCTGTGAATGACCTCTTGCTCCGTATCGAAACTGAACAATGCGGCGACAGGGCCAAAAGTCTCAGCTGCCGCAACATCCATAGTATCTTTGACGCCGGTCAACACCGTTGGGGCATAGAAAGTTTCTCCAAGATGGGGCATGGCCAACCCCCCGGTCAGGACGGTAGCCCCCTTTCCGATGGCATCATCCACGTGCTGGGCCACCTTCTTAACCGCTCGGACGTGTATCAACGCACCATGTGTTACTTCAGCATCGAATCCATGGCCGACCTTGAAACTGCTCTCGATTTTGTCCTTGAGCTTAGCTGCGAACTCTTCATAGACACCGCTCTGAACGTAGATTCTGTTGGCGCAAACGCAGGTCTGCCCATTACTCCTGAACTTAGCAGCTATACAGCCGGCTACAGCAGCATCAATGTCTTTAGCATCATCAAAAACAATGAAAGGCGCATTGCCACCGAGTTCGAGTGAGAGCTTCTTCATCGTCGAAGAGGCCTGCTTCATCAAGAGCTTTCCGACATCCGTGCTACCAGTGAAGGAGACCTTCTTGACGGCTGGTGACGTGGTCAGGATGAGACCGATCTTGGGCGTGTTCTCTAAAGCAGTGATGATGTTGAATACTCCGGGCGGCAGACCAGCCCGTTTGCCGAGCTCCGCTACCGCATTGGCCGTGAATGGCGTCTCCCCCGGAGTCTTTAGCACCACCGTGCAGCCTGCTGCAAGGGCTGGAGCAACTTTGCGAGTCACCATAGCCGCCGGGAAGTTCCACTGTTTTTCGAAAGAGAAAATTGTCAGCATGTCTTGCGTCTTGCAAAGTGATCATGGAACGTACGGGCGTAATCAGGCCACAAACACCAATCGGATGCTTGATCCCATGAACACGCATTCCCTTCGTCGTCGGGACGAAGGTATCGCCATATGATCTTGTAGCTTCTTCAGAGAACCATTCGAGGAAGTTAGCGGCGTATGCTGCCTCGCCCTTGGCGTCCGCAAAAGCCTTCCCGCTTTCCCACGTGATAAGAATGGCAATATCATCGAGATTTTCTACCATCAAATCGTACCACTTCCTGAGTATCTTGGATCTCTGTCGGCCAGTGAGCTGGGAGAATGAGACAAACGCATTTTCGGCTGCGCGAATGGCCGATTCAACATCTGTCACATCGCACTCGGGACATGTTCCAACCAACTGGCCAGTGGCGGGATCGTGGACTTCGAAAACCTGACCGGTCGCTGCTTCTGTCCATTTGCCATTGATGTGGCACTTCTCGATGAAAAGAGTACTATCTTTCAACTGCATCATGGTTAGAATATATGTCTACCTAGTGTCTTTAAGGGTAAGAGACGGAGACAAATATAGACGCAACTCACGATTGGAACTGTGTGACCCATCTTGCAGGCTAAAAGAACATGTATGACGATGACGAGAAAGCGAAAATGAAAAGTGATGAAGTATTTCGACCTGCCGTTGCGTGGCTGCGATAATAATGTGCTGTCTAAGACATTCGCAAGTGGGTTTTCTTACCTAGGCCACAAAACCGATAACGTAACGGCCGAGCAGGGTGCGCCAGGGTTTCCGACGACTAGTGTAATCCTATGCTTTGTACTTCATGTTGGGTCAATGAACTGTGCACATGTTGGGAAACTAGGACTAGCACGTGTCCTTCTGGAAAGAGGAAATACGAAGAGACCTTGCGGAGACCTCATGGGCTCTTTTGGGATAGAGCTGAGAGACCACCTCAGTTGGGGTTTCCATTCGAGCATCAAAGGTTCCACCTTTCTAGGGACCGGGCAGATATCGGCGGAGATTCGGAAATCTATCAGACGAATGGTTTAATTGGCATGAGAAGTGTTAGGGCTCCATTGCCGAAGCTGAGGAAGATAAGCTGCAGAATGGAGGGGTGACGCGGGGTAACTAAGACACGAAATGCCGTTGTCCAGCCCCACCGTTGATGAGACCGGCCCAGAATTGCCTGGTGGAGAGCCTAAAGGTCTCATTAAACCTTCCCAAAACGGGTTGATGTTGGCACGGTCACCATGTTGAGCTTCATGGCGCATAAGGCCAGTCCACACACCGAAACATGGTTAACTACTTGATCATTTAATGTGTAAAGAACCACCCATTATGTCTACCACTACCTTCGCTGTCGCCGCTTCTTTGTCCGTGCATTCGGTCTACTTTCTTCATTTTTCTCGAGATCATTTGACTCAACAGATATATCTGCAGTGAAATGTCTGGAGCACTTGAAGGCATCTACCCGCCAGGCGTGGTCAACCCTGGCCTGCCTCGCGCCAACTCGACCAAGCCATACTGGCACGTTAACCCAAGCGCCTATGCCAACCACAATTCACCATGGCCTCAAGACCCTGTCGACCTCGTCATTATTGGCACCGGTATTTCCGGCATGACGCTAGCCCGCACTCTGTGTGCAAAGAGGCCAGATCTGAAGATCGTTGTCCTCGAAGCTAGGACTCTCTGCTCCGGTGCTACCGGCCGCAATGGAGGTCACATCAAGACCATGCTATTCTCGATGTGGAACGAGCGCAAACACCAGTTTGGAATTGAGGAGGCCATCAAGATCTCTGAGTTTGAGCAAAGTCACCTGGCCGCCATCGCTGCGGCAACGAAGGAAGATGGCGCAGATTGTGATTTGGTTCTCACCACTGGTGTTGAGGCCTACTACGACCAGGCCGTCTTCGAACAAGACCTCAAGGCTCTAGAGGACATTCGTGTGCACGCGCCTCACCTTGCCGCTCTTCACACCGTTCACACCGATAGAGATGTTCTGCAGCACCAGATGAAGCTATCAAAGCGCTGCATCGGAGCCATCACCATCCCCGCAGGCTCTGTCTGGCCCTACAAGTGGATCGCTAAGGTTTGGGAGAACCTCATCGGAAGCAACAAGGTCAACATGCAGACCAACACAGCTGTGGAGTCCATTGAGGATCGCGACGGAGAGGACTTTGCTACCGTCAAAACGAAGCGCGGCAACATCAAGGCCAAAAAGGTCATCCACGCCACCAACGCCTGGATGGGCTATCTTCTCCCCGAGATGCAGCCCTTCGTCTCTCCAGTCCGTGTAAATGTGGTTCACTGGGCGGCTGATAGCAATGGACAGTCTCCCCTCGGAACAGTTCCGGAGTACTCCGTCTGGTATCGCTATGGACGCAAAGATTACGACTACCTCATCCAACGTGAGGACGGAGGTATCGTCACGGGTCGCGCCTGCACAGGACGTACCGTGACCGGCGACGACACTGTGACTGATCTAGCACCTCACGCGCATCTGCGCGGTTTCCCCTTTGAGGCTATTGCAAACCCGAAGGCAGATGCAGCTACGAGCATCGACCACTCCTGGTCTGGCATTGTCAGCTTCACCCAAGACGGCCTTCCGTTCATCGGGCCGCTTCCCTTCGCAGGCCGCAGCCATCAGTTTGTCTGTGGGGCCTATCATGCTACTGGTATGGTCAAGGCGTTTCGCTCTTGTCAGGCTGCTGCTTCTATGATATTGGGAGAGGAACTTCCAAAGGACTTCCCTACATCGTTGTTGTTGACTGAGCAGCGTATCAGAGAGCTTCGAAACTCTCTGGACCGTGGTAACTATCCCTGCTACCGGGCAGTTGCCAAGATCTAGGGGAGATAGAACATCAGTTACTTTAGATGCATTTGTATTGCCTTCATGGCAGTCATCGCCCTTGATTAGCTGTGGTGCTGTTACGATAATTTGATTTCAAGTTAGCTGAGCCAACGTTTGTACAACTCTTGCTATCGTTTCATGAATCCAAGCCAGTGTCATACCAGGTCAAATGGCAAGCCACGTTTTAGAGCCACCACCTGGTGCATAGCTTGCGCCAGTAGTGTGATCCTGGCCTTCATCGACCCGGACCTCAACCTCAATCCTCCTTTGAATCCCCGTCAACCTATTCCCACGTGAATCCAACTCTACATCTTCGCCTTTGGTTTGTGCAAAAGCTCTTTCACTGTGGCTATCGGTGTCGTCGGCACCGCTTCCATTACGCACGTATCCCTTGCTTCTGGTCACCCCTGACCAAGGTGCGGACTTGGACCGTGCTGCACCGCCAGTGTTTGATCGACCGTCTTTTCCGTAACTCTGTAGCTTGCTCCTCAAGCCCAGTTTGAATGAAATAATACGGACGATGGGTTGAAGAGCAGGAAAGGAAGCAACCCATAGGCCGATGTGTCCTTCAAGGTCAGTCCAGACACCGATGGTTGACATGTTGAATGTTCTGGGTTAGAAGGTCAGTCGGCCCCTGAAAAAGCTGCCAGCACTGGTCTTGGTCTGGTGTGCACTTACGGATCGGCCAGGAAAAGGAGGGTTGTCAACATGTATAAACGGATGCAACCCGTCACTATCACAAATATCCCCACGCTGAAGACGAGAATGACCTGAAAGGCCTTCTCGGTGAAGAGCATCTTGGTGTAGACGACCCAGATCGGGAGCCCCATTAAGGCCAGGTCAAGAACCAAACCACTTATTTGGTGCGCCACCATCATGCTATTTTCGGATTCTGGGGGCACACAGTCAAGACCTGGCATGAAAGGAGGCTTCCATATATCCCTGCATACGATTGATGTTAGTAAAATCCGAAGTCCTTGATTCCACTACCCTCGACATCATGACTTACGCAACTGGACTGCACTCGGTCAACCGATAGATAAAGCACGCGAGCGTCTGAGCGATCACGAAGAATCCAGTAATGTAAACGAGAATCATGTAGGTTTCTACTCGGGATTAGCGACAAGAGCATGAATAATCTTGGTGGCAATGATTCCGCACTGTCTTGGCTGAGGCGGGGTAGAAAAGCAACGATCGAAAGCCTCATTAGCCCGGTGCCAATAAAGTAGATCAAGACCTGTGTAACAATCGACTGATATCCAACCTGTTAGCTCTTGACTGCTTGAGGATTCCTTGAGAGTCTACCTCGAACCATATTGCCAAATCTTCCTGTGGGACATTGTCGACATGCGCTCCGCTGCCATATTGAACCACTACGTTCGGGTCTCAGTATCCACTCTACGGATGGTCTAATCGTGCAACTTACAGCGAATATCCATTGCGGAGAGTGCAATTACAAAGCCCTAATAATAACATTGTCAGAGCGGTCATGCCAGCTCGCCAAATAAGGTCGAACTTACAAACGCGACAAACGCAATGAGGTCGTCCAGTCCTAAGGCCTTCGACATAAACGCTCTGACGTACAACCTTGTACCAACCACAAGGGTAGTGCAAACGATGAGGGCTGTGTTGAGATAGAGGGTCTTGTTTCCCGCATAGCCTGGTGAGTCCCTGAAATGGACAGCGGTAGTGTTGTCCGCCATCGTGAACTAGCAAGAAGAAGGGTTCTCACAGCAAAACGAAGATAGAGAAGAATATGGCAGAGAAAATCAGACCCGAAGGAAGACGAGATAATAAGTTGGAACGCCGGTGGGTGATTGTCGCTCGAGAAATACAGCAGCGCCAAAGTGATCAGATTTCCCGGGAAAGGCCAGAGTTGGAAGGCCGTTCAGGCTAGATCACTCCTCATTGAACTGTGGCGGATTATGTTACATGGCTCATCATAGGCGAGCATGGGAGAAGATCCGGAAAGCAGCTTCTTCACAGCTGCGCCGCAAGAAGAAGAAAAACGGAGTCTCGTCTATGCAACTCGGTCAACCGTGTGTTGGCTGTTCCTGGTGGAAGAACCCCGGCCATGGACGAGCCAAAATTTTGGCAAGTCGAAGCCAAGGCTTGCAGTTTTGCCACTTTACTCATCGTCTGGACCTGCAAATCTTCGTCGCCCAGACTCGCCCTTTACTGGCGATCCAATTGCTGCCAATGGGTGTTTTAGTATGATACGCCTAATCGGCCATAGAGCCTTATCCAGGATGATCAGTGTTATCTACATCAAGTAAGAATACAGGCCCGAAAAGCACAAGCCATGAAGTGCGAAAGTCGAACCCATTTCATCGTCTGGTCTGTACATGTTGGTTCAGCAGCCAGGATCGCAGTCCACTCTCAATGTCACCTTCCCGAGGTCTTGTCTTTGATCGGAGGAAGAGCCCGCCTCCGCTGAACCAGGTCGCCGGTTCCAACAAAGTGAACCACGCGATCAGTCACATCCACATTACCGACGGATGTGGCCAATTCCCTGAGCTCGTTGGTTCCGGGGAACATTCTATCTACTTACAAGGGATGTTGGACAGCCCCTTATCTGCCAAGAACAAGATGCATGCTGCGGAAGGCTTGCGATGATGTCGGCTACGTGGGCACATCCTCTTCCCGGAGATGAAGCATCCAGACGATGCTCGATGCCCCGATCCTTGCTTCGAAATTGATGCACTTTTGCAGTTTCTGTGAGTTTTTTTTGTCCCAACCTAGCCTTTCGGAAAGGATCTAGACCCAGAAAACAGGTTGTTTCCAAGGCCCGAAACCCGTTCCAACGGTTCCAACAACTATCCGACGGCCAAATCCAGCGAAGCACCCACATGGATCAGTCAACTTGTGATTGGGCCGCTTGAGATTTCCAAACACCAGGCTGAGGACGAAAGAACACTTCCCTATCTCTTTTCGGCCCTTGGAAGTTTTGAAGATACCAACGAAGTACTTAACTCGGTCGAAAGTTGTCTCTTCTATTGTATGTCTTTGCCCACGCCTGTCCTCGACAGATATGAACGTTGAAACAAAGTTACGAAAAGAATAGTCCTGAATGTCGTTATGTTGTCATCTGATATTATGCTGCGGCTGACTTTAGAACTGTCGCATTTCAACAGAGATTAATGATGAACTTCTCCCCGCGATTATCCGTATAATGCTCGCCAGCGTACCACAATTAGCTTGGCCCCGGACTCCTCCGGTCAAGATGAAAGGTTCCATCGGTCTCCGCAATTCTAAGCGACTCTTAAATGAATGCACGTTCCATGAAGCGCTGTTGGTGCACGGAAAACGGGCAGGGCCCCTACCTTTTTTCAACGCCGCACGCTAGAGTATGACCCCAGGTTCCGGTCGCTTCCGGTGCCTGGATTATGGATGTATGTAGTATTTCTATGTTGTTGTGATGAGAACCCTCCCTCGAGAGACTTGCTGGAGGAAAAACTGCCAGCTAAGAGCTGTGAAAAGATCGAGTATCTGTCGAGATCGCAATCAAACCGTGTGTTGCGCATTGGGGATTCGAGTCCACAGAGCCGTTTATCTGAGTCGTAGCTCATTTCTCTGCCCATGGCCAGTCAGTGCCAGCCACCGCCTTCAAGGGGTCCTTGCGAGGTCACATATTTGAAGCAAGGATGAGAGATTCGTTGAGCGACAGGGCCTTGACAGCGGGTCCATCAGAAGCATCCACTCATCATCCGATCGAGCCAGACCCTGTTGGTGACCAACACAGCGACTGAATGTTTGCTAGCATCCATGACTGTTGATATGCAATGCGACCAACGTGCATTCTGATGCCTTTCAATATTCTGAAATCAGCAAGTAAGCCGTGTTTCAAGGCGCTAGACTTCATGGCCATCAATCACATTCGCCAGACGCAGCGGCCGCCTCCCAATTTTCATGCCGCCAGGGTCTACCAGATGCCTGCTCGCTTGCTCCTTCGCATGTCCTGCCGTTGGCTCAGGCCATTCATCGCCACTAAACCTTTGTCTATATCCAGCCTGTTGACCTGGCTTTTTTAATAGCTGTTGTAATCCCCCATCTGGTCAAAGGACGACCCGAGTAGCTGTGGTGTCCCGAGTATCTCAAGTCTTCTCGACCGTGTTACTGTAAGGGAGCAATCATGAAGCCCCTCTCTGTATTTGTATCACACTTTCTCGCTCTGGCGTCCGTTCGTGGCGTGGCGTCGGCCCCTTCCAACAACACTAGCCCAACCTGTTGCAGGAACCCCTTGGTTAGGCATGAGTGGCGACAACTCTCCCTCGAGCAGAGACTCGACTACATCGGGGCGGTAAAATGCTTGATGTCTCTCCCATCCGAAGGAAATGAACTATGGCCTGGAGCAAGGTCACGATATGACGACTTCCAGGGTCTGCACATCCGAGTCACCGAGCAAGTGCACTTCAACGTGAGTAATTCTTTTGACCAAGCTCTGTGATAGTTTAGTCTAACTTATCCCCCAGGGCCCTTTCCTGCCGTAAGAACACAGCCACTCGTGTCGCAATTGAGTTTTCTACTGACAGGTTCTAGTTGGCACCGGTGGTTGCTATACCTCTTTGAGTCTGAATTGCGAAACAAGTGCTCCTACCAGGGCGGTCTGCCCTATTGGGACATCAGTCTTGACAACACCGCGGAGAGTTTCGTTGACTCCCCTATCTTCGACAACGCATATGGGTTCGGCGGGAACGGGCCGTACATCCAAGACCTCAGCGACCCCGAAGAGTTCCCTACTAAGACACCCACGGAAATTCCTAACAGGACGGGTGGAGGTTCGTGAAACACTTCACACGAGTCACGACACACCCAACTAACGTGTTTGTAGGATGTGTGCGAGAGGGCCCCTTTGCGAACCTGACTGTCCCCATGGGTCTTGGTATGCCAGTTATGTCACGGTTCACCTGGTGACCGCAACTGAAGACTAACTCTCTTCACAGGCGCTTCTGTCGAATACCAACCCCACTGCCTGAGACGTGACTTCAGCCCAACTCTGGTCGCTGCGGCGCTTGCCGACGAAGTCATTGATCGCGCTCTCTCAGCATCTATTTTCGATGAGTTCAATCACCATATTCAGGGTTACAGCTTTGAAGCCAGCGGCATAACGCTTCATGCTGGGATGCATTTGGGCATTGGGGGTCAAGTGGGCGAGGTGAGTTCATGTCAAAGCAATGCAGTTGGCCAAAGCATCAGCTAACTCTGTCCAGAACGCAGACATGTACTCCTCCCCTGGCGATCCCATCTTTTACTTTATCCACAGCGCCCTGGACAAGATCTGGAACGACTGGCAGCGCAGAGGTATGTCGCCTTTCTTATTTTGGGGGTCCCTTGCAGCCTGCATCAGTTGTCGGGCATCATGCGATGAATTTGAGTTCAGGGATATGGCCATCTCTTTGACTCGGAAACCTGCCGACTGACAACGCTTCGTCCGTAGATTGGCCTGCGCGCAAAACTGCCATTGGCGGCCCAGACGCTATGTTCGCCTACCCATTCAACTTCTTTGGGGACGTGCCATATGAAAACATCACCCTTCAATACCCGCTGAGCTTCCCCAAATTTGGCAAGGACATGGTGGTGAGCGATGTGATGGATATCAGGGGTGGGCCGTTTTGTTACGAGTATCAGTGATCCCAATTGGGAGCCGCACTAATTAGTAGTAAAACTGCAAATGAGGGGTTGTATGAATCTCGAACGGCGGTTTACGACCGTTGATAGTAGTAATAGCTAGTTATTGGTCAATTAACGACGTTACATGGCGGGGGATATCGTACTTTCAGTGTAAATGACTTGCGAGCAATACAATAGGGAGAAATTGCTCCGAAAAAAGGGCATCGAGGACGATTGAGGCTGGAACTAGAGTTTCGGGACAAAGATGTAGTCAGCCACCATGCCAGTGTGACCGGATAGAGTTCCGCGAGCCAGTCAAAAAACGGTCCTATCACCGACGAACTGCGACTCATTTCGCCGAAGACGGCCGAAAGAGGTGAGACTACCCCAATCTGACAAAGGCTTCGCTTCGTCGCCAAGGCTATGAAACCTTTAAGGGCTGAGACAGATGATCGATTTACGGGCGTAAGTATGAATGACAGACTATGACTCTGGACCCCTAGAAGGCGAAACTGACACTCATTTTGACAGATGACGAGGAGAATGCTTGAGTGGTGAAACGGAAAATCAAATGTGGTATCATCTAACTAAACGTATGGAACATTGGAAGAAACAATATGCTCTTGCGACTCGTGGTCTTCAAGAACTCGCCTGGAACGCTCAGAAACAAATAGCTTTTCGCCATGCTTGTGGCCTGATTCCACTTCAACGTGCACCTTCATCGCCCTCGAACGATCCGGGGACGGGGCATACATGTCCGACCACCTCGGATTGGGGTCTCTACCGAGGCTCTTTAATGACTTTTGTGGCGAAAGGTCGCCAAGCTCTCCGACCATCTCTTCGTCGCCGCTGAATCGCCTGACCTCAGATGTGATCTCGATTTCCTTCGTGATAAAGATCTTGCCCAAGTTCATCTGGAGGACGGGCCAGAAGATCGGCAGTGAGGCGCATATTGTGGCGAGGTTGACCTCGACGGCGGCGAGAACAATGGGCACGCAACCATACCATGAGGGGTCCAGAGTCGGATATGTGCCGGCTTGGGAGTGGCTGATGCCAATCAATCGGAAAATTCCCAGAATATTTACACTACAGA